GTCTTAACTGAATAATTGTGGCATGTGGCCACTTTAAGTCTGACAGATTTATGATAAATTAGGCAGACAAGAGCTATTTAAAGTACCGTGAAATATCCATTTATCTTCCTCACAAGATAACATGATCCTCCCTCAGTTTTATTCTCGCATAATATCATAAATTAGGCAACTTGATGTCGTATAACAGTGATAACTCATAAATAGGCACAATTTTGGAAAATAAAGTACCTGAAATAAGGGATTCTGTAAATCATTAGTAGCTATTGTTAGTGCAGGCAAAACTTGTTGATGATATTATAAATTACTGAATTCAGAGCTGAGATTCTCGGACAAATCATTGATCGCACTGATAAGAGGGTTGGAGTGATTATATATTCAGTCAAAAGCTACAAGGATGATTGTAGAAATTGAAAATTTTAAAAGTTGTTGCAAATTTCAAACAATCAAACAACTGCAATCAATCAAACTTCTTGTTGTTTGAGTTATGGACATTAATGGTCATTGCTAGACTATTTTCGTTGCATTTGGTACACGCTATACTACAAGCACATTGAGGCGAGGGACAACTATTTGTAATAGAAAGTGTAAGAGACTGCAAGCTCTATGTCAAGCAGTCGAGTTTCAGTACACACACGAGATAGGATGCATTGACCCCATTTGCAAATTGCTCTTGTTATGACTCTTCACTTTCCTTCCAGTTATCTGAATTTGCAAAACTAGATTCATGTCTTTGCAATACATGTTGTTTGATAAGTTCTATGTGCTCAGAACGATGAAGATTGATAAATTAAAGTGTATAGTTATCCTAAAATATCTCACCAAGACATGAGCAATCTGTTTGACACCATCCCTCAAACGAACTCAATTTTAATTTGTCTATAGTGATTGAAAAATATGCATATGCATAGTAACAAAAGAACATATCAAATAAGTGAATTTAAGAGAAAAAGTTAACATTTGCATCCAGGGCTGATGATTTCACCAACTTTGCAGTAGGTATCTGCATTTCTAGAGCCTGCAACATTCACAGTATGAGAAAGCCTTCGCTAATACTTACACAACCAACACAAAAGTACCTGCATAATAAAGCAAAAGCCAGCAAAGTAGTAATACCTTTGGGCACAAAATAATGGCATATCAGAGAGAGCTGCTATCCAATGTTGACACTCCATGGAAGCCAAGGGTATGGCGACCTTATATGAAACTCTTTACATAAGAAAAGCACATGTTTCCCCTGATTCCAGTCATTGCTCTGCACATCGTGTTGAAAGATCATTTTCAAATAATATGCATATTTTAGGAACAACAAACCTTTAACATACCAGACATCTCATGGCTTACTTGACGCTTCAGTATCATGTAGCTTGTGTCTGTGCATCATACTCATAAAAATATCACGATAACCACCAACCTAATGTGGCTGTAGTGATTGAAGAGTCTGCGAATTTTACATAGGAGATAAGGAAATATGAAATTAAGAAAACATAATATGACAAATCTTTGTTGCATAATGTAATTAAACATGAGCACAATTTGCAAAATGAAGTACCTAAAAATGGTTTTAAAATCATACTGCTAGTCTTGACAAAGGCAGCACACGTTCTGCATATTAATATGAAACTCAGGACTAAGATGCTTGGAAAACTTCGTTGGTTGCATTCATAGCTGCCAAAGGAATACTAGAATGGATGATGTCAACAACTTTGCACTAGGATGTCCAAAGTTATTCTAGAGCCTGAAACATTCATATAATGAGAAAGCCTTAGCCAATGTTTACAGAACAACACCCAAATATATAATAAAGCAATATCCAGAAAAGTTTTGTTCCTTCAAATGCAAAATATTGGCCAAAGTAGTATCTGACTTGAACACTCCGCAGGAGCCAAGGATATTGCAAACTCACAACAAAAACTTCCGTATGTAGCTGTTTCACAACAAAATATTGGCCAAAGTAGCTGTTTCCCCTGATTCTGGTTCTGGTCCTTTCTCTGCACATCATGTTGAAATGTCATCCTTAATATGATGCAAATAATACAAAATACAACCTCTTGAAAAGATGAAGAATTAAAAGAAAAATCTCATGACTTACTCTTCCTCCTTAAACATATTCAGCACAAAACTCAAACCAAGATGCCTGGTGTCTATTAGCCTCAGAGTTTTCAGCATGCATTTTGGATCAATTCAGTTCATCTTTCAAGCACCTCTACTGCATAAGCAATTAAAAAAAAAAAAACATCTTCATTTCGAGTAGAGTGATAGCAAAAACAGCGGAAGGAGGCAGCTAGAACTGATTTTTTAGTAAACTTTTGGATCAAAAGCGTTTGTATATATAGAGTTGTTATAAATAACAATTAGCTTAAAATGGAGGAGGAGCGGAAGTTACCTGTGGTGAAGAACTCGATTTTAACTTACAAAATTCATTCTGACCAAGTGGAGCCTGTCCTCTCATGCAACAATAGGTTGGTTCAGAATCATCAACCCTTTCCAGAGGATTTAAGAAACAACTGAAAGAGATCTTGGGCCATTCGTTTCAAAGCATCTTAAGATATTTACTTTCTGTAGTGTTGACATTTGAAGAATTTGATTTGGGCAGTTCCTTCAGTTGGCCGCAATCCCTGATTTTCAAATATTGAAGACATGGCATGATTGTAATATTTTATTTCTTCCCATTCTTATAAGTTGTCTCTAAGCAATTATCTTATTCTTTGTTTTCTTCATGCATATCCAACAATATTTAGCTTTGATGTTTGTGTAGCAATGCTCATATTCTTTCCTTTCTACATTATTTAAGCTTTAGTGTTCACAGCTTTTCTTCAATCTTATATTAATCTCACCATGAGAACTTTTTAATATTCTACATCCTTTATATAGAATATTGTCTTTGTCAAGGTTGAGTGTTATTTTAATTTAGAAGATATACCCTGGAAGATATGCAGATCATTCTTTCTATAAACTCCCCCGTTTTTTTCTGTGTTCTTTGTATAATGTATCAGAGATTGTCAATTCTGTTGCTTGCACAAATTCAGAAGAAAAATCCACGAGAAAACCACTTGGCAGAGCTATATAGCTAGTTTGACGACAACTGATTTTTTTAAATTTCAATCTGTATTCAAATTATACGCTTCATTTGTAACTTGAAACCTATGTTGTTCTTTTGTATATAAAAGGAACGACTAAGAAGGGTTTATCAATCTTTGAATAGAATTTCTTTTGCTCTACAATATGCTATTCATATTAATTTACAGTGCTGGGTTTCTATGACAACAAGCTCATGCAGAGACAAAATCAAGTAGTTTATTTTCAAGAACGTCTAGCCCATACCCCGTCACTCTAATGAACAATTGTCAAAGATATGCCTTGTTGATCGCAAGAATAATATATAACAATTAACCAAAAAGTGGAAAGACAAAATTACCATTAAGTCAGCCTATATCGTTTGGACAAAAGAGGAAAGGAAGAAGGAACTCATTGTGCCAAGCTCAATAGTCAAAAGATGACAGAAGCTGCTTAGGCAAGACAAAAAGGCGAAAGTCATTAATCCCATGTTAAATGTTTTACAAAAAATACTTTAATCTTAGTGTTTTCCAGCAGCCTGATGAAAAAAAATTTACCACCATAAGTTGATCCTTTCATGTGATATATTTGTTCAACAGTAGCTTTCTATGTTTGGATTTAATATGTATGCTTCACATACAAATCTTCTGGAATATGGGACTGTCAAATGGTTTAAGTTATTATTATGATTTTTAAAAAACTTGAAGATGGTTCATGGTTGCATATCTAACCTCCAATTCTTCTTCCATGCATCATCTTAATTACTTCAGAAACTCTGAAAATAAACTTCCAAGGTTCAGAGAAAAGAATTTGAATGTCTGATTAAATAGCCAAAAGAAGACAGAACTTTGCATTATCGCCAACATGATACGGGAATAGATATGTAGTATTCACAAATTCCTCCTTCATAAATCGGCTCCTTCTTATATGAAAACTCAAATTGCAACAACACAAGTAAAATGGCAATAAAAAAAAAAACAATTGTTTAAGCATGTAAAAGACATTAACAACTGATTAACTATGCAAAGAAAATAGAGAAGAAATCTAGTCTTAGAAGTGCACAAGCAAAAAGTTTCCATAACTAAGTAGAACTCTACTTGGTCTCAAAATAGCGTTAAAACCTTGGATTACAGAGTTAACCAACAACAAAGAAAGTTGATTGAGCTTCAAAATTGGTAGAGACATTAACAACTGATTAACTATGCAAAGAAAAAAGAGAAGAAATCTCAAAATAGCTCGCTCCTGGCGTCCAATGGTGGGCTGGGAAGCGTCTTGGATGGGTTGAACTCAAATGACTCGGGTTTAAAAAGTGTGCAAATGGGTGGTTTTGGGGGAGAGTTTTAATTCGGGTGGAAGTTTGGGTTGGGCATCCGAGTTGGATCTCTAGGGCGATAATGGTGGTGTGGTGGTGGTGAGAGTTATATTTTTCAAACCATAAGGGATGTTGATTAATGACCCAAAATTTGGGGACTGTCAAGATATTTACCCTCTTTTAGGTAGTAAATTAGCCAATTCATCATAGGTTTAGTGAAATTATTTTTTTGTTTAATAAGTATGGAGTGGGATTTCAAAATTGGTAGTTTTAAAAGATAAGTTGATGGAATGGGAGAAAGAATCATCAAAGGGCTCTGTTCTCTCTGTTACCTCTCATGGGTCGTGCTCTAAAATGTGGTTTATTGGACCACTCTCTGTGTGTTTACATTTCTATCTACAACCAACCATATGTGGGGCTCTTGCTTTGTCACTTGGGCATTTAGACAAACTTGGCCCATTATGAGTGATGTGACCCACAATAAGAAGACCAATTTCTTACTGGCCTAGTATTGTTAATGGGCGATCATGGTTAATAATTAAATCTTGAATGAATATTGGTGAAAAGACACAATCAAACAATAAGTTCAAAAAAAAAAAAAAAAAAGGTCAAGGCAAAAACACAAAAGGGCACAACTATTTACGTGGTTCGGTCAATATGCCTACGTCCACGGGTGGTGATATTGGTTTCACTATACGAGATGGAACAAGAATTACAAAACACTCTCACACCCCTTCCAATAAGTTTAGGATCAAAAGCAAACTCAACCTCAAACCACATTCAATCCTAGAGAGATTGTTCTAATGTAGGAGCAAAAAATCCATATGTTTTTCTGCATAATCTCTTATGTTTCTAGCTCCTACCGTGTTATGAAACAAAATTATCTCAAGGCTTGTATAGGTTTACAAGAGAAAACACCATTCTGCCCTTAATAAAGAGTGGCCAAATTGACCAATATTCAATCACCTCTTGGTTTCATGACACAATTTCAGCAACATCTTGAGGATTATGTATGCTTCCTTTTGATCAAAATTCATAGCGCGATGCCTTAATTTCTGTTCAAAATTTATACTCTCTATTGTCTTCAGAGCTCATCAAATTTTTTGACGATAATGTCAGCAAAATCAAGAACATCCTATTCAAACCCTGTCATTGTGATGTACAATGTTAAGAAAAACTCTGGTAGTTGAAAAAATAATAACACAAATTGATCTAGATAATTCTCCATGACAAACTTAGTCATTTTTCAAACTAAAAATTGTGGAGAAGTACATTACCTTTTCGACAACAGTGATCTTGCATATAAAAGAGCTAATTCTTCAAAGCTTGACATTTGATTGAGTGTTGAACTTTCTTTCCTGCATCAAGAAATGAGATATGAAAGCAAAGTATTACTAGTAAAAATGTAATTGAATATATTAATAGTCAGAAGACAACAAAATCAAACCTTTATGAGCTATAAAAGGATTTTCCTGACTAAATTTGGGGAGAATGGAAGAGCTAGCTAACATAGTCTACACAAAGGACAATAAGAAGTTGATAATGATCAATAATTACAGATAAAAATAAAGAATAGTTAAAAAGAATATGCTTCAAAAATTTAACCGGTTGGTCACTTGTTCTCGCTATTTTGTCTCTTTCATATCACAAAACACCAATGCAGTTGACAAATCAAATATCTTCTCCTGTAACATGTAATTGTGATATTTAGCAAGATAAGAATTCACAAAACATAATTGCAGATTGTATAATAACTTCCCATTTCTTACACATTGACAAACTAAAAGACATCCGTAGGTGACACAATTTAGCAAATTAAAGTACCTGAACTTGGGATTCTGGAAATCGTATGTAGCTGCTGTTGGTTATGCAAGTATTAAAAGATTCTTGGACAACTCATCAATTGCATTCATAAGAAGATTGAAATTGAAAATGTTAAAAGTTGTTAAATTTTTTCTTTCTTTTCAATCACAAAAAATAACAACCAACTAAAAGTGTTACCTGTACTTCAGTGGCCAAATACTTCAGAGAATTCGTCAATCGTATGAATAGCAGTACCTTCAAATACTGTGATAAACGTCTCCAAGATGAAGCCGAAATCATTTGTGAGAGCCTACAATGTAAAGGAAATGAGAAAACTGTCGCCAATACTTGGAAAATCAACACATGGTATGATACGTCACAATTTTAGATATATAGTGAGAAGTTTAATAATATTTGAAACTAGAGTAATCACATAATCAAACCAATGTGATCCTCAAATCACTATTTAACTTAAGAATAATACTGATCTTGTTTCTACAAAGTAAACATGGAACAGAGCAATAAACATTATTGTAATATAAGATTTTGATTTAAAAAAAGAGAAAGGGGAATGAATTACCAATGGGTGAATAGCAATTGTGGCTATCTGAGAATCGAACAGCCATGTTTGTTGCAGCTTTCATCTTCACTTCATGATTCAAAACGATAAGATAGAGATTTTTGGAATGTGAGAAATCTTGCTCCTGTCATCTCCTGTCTCCTTGTAACGTTCTTCTAGAGTAGAGCAATCATCAATCTCTAATTGCTGCAGTGTTGGTGTTTGAAGAATTTGATCTGGCAATTCCTTTAATCCATAACACGCTTCAATTGACAAAGAATGAAGACATGGCATGACTGTAATATCTTTGTCTATACTTTTAATCTCATGATTCCACTCTTCCCAGAGACCTAATTGTGAGAAATGGAGGAATTTTAATTTGGGAAAGGCAACAATTCTTGATGATGATGTGACATCATTTTCTATTCCCAAAAATTCATTACCCACTCTTTTTATTCTTGGCATATCACCTATGGCTAGTGATTCAAGGGATGGTAGTTTTCCCAAAGGAGGTAAATACTCACAATTGTTGAAATCATAAAGCTCTAACCTCTTCAGCTTGATTAATGATACCATCCAATCAAAAGACATAGATTTGCCTCCAAAGCAATATATCCCTAATTTCTCCAAATTCGGAGGTGGTTGTAATGCTTCAATAATCATTTTATTCTCCTCATTTTCTCTCTGAATACGAAATGATAAAGTCAAATCTAGGAGATTTTTGGTACTCTGAAAATCTGCAAGTTTAAGTGCATTACTATCCCTCACATTTCCCAACATTAACTCTAAAGATGGGCCAAGTTTCAAGTTCTTCAAAGAATCAAGACTAGTACATGCTTTGTTACGGTAATCATCACCACTAAAAACGAATTTATTTAATGTCTTTAGACAACTCAATCTCTCTACTCCTTTTGGAATGTACCTTAATGAATCAGTATCAACAAGTAATAGATGCCTCAAATTACCTAACCTTCCTATCCCTTGGGGTAGCTTCGTAAGATCACCACAACCAGTGAGATCCAAGGTTTGTAAATTATATAAATCACACAATGCCTCGGGCAATTTTTTTATTACAAGATTATACTTCAAATTAAGGTACCTCAAATGAACCAAATATTTTATTCCTTTTGGAATATTATAATTGCAATGACACAAACTTAATGTCCTCAGACATGTTAATTGCCCAAAATATCTTGATAAGCCTCCTCTTTCAAAGGCTGCCCACTCAACTACGAAGCTACGCCATTTTTTTATATTATGAATAGAGTAAGGCACTGAACTACTTCTTCTTATGAATACATGTCGAACACTTTCATAAGAAATCTCAAATTGAGGAATTACATGGCTCTCAACTTCCATTGCAAAACATTCATTCTTTGAAACAAATTGAACAAAGTCATGCACTATATCATGCATCTTGCATCTTATAATACTACCGTCATATTCACTTCTTTCAAAATCTTGAAACAAAGAACGCATTACTAAGTTTTCAAAATATTCCTCACCAACTAATTCCATTTCTTTATTCCCTTCCACCTTAAGAAAACCTTGGGCCATCCATAACTTGATCAATATATCTTTCTCTATCATATAGTCTTTTGGAAATATAGCACAATATGAAAAGCATTTTCTTAGTTTCGAGGACAAATCATAATAACTCAAGAGGATTGGGGGGAAGAGCTCTTTTTCTATCTCTTCTAATTTCCATAAATCACTATCTAAAACACTTTGCCATTGTTCAGCCTGTGTTTTTAAACTCAAAAGACTTCCTAAAGTCTTTATAGCAAAAGGCAAGCCATCACACTTCCCTACAATCTTTCTACCAATATCTTTTAAGTTTTCATATTCTGCCTGTGTCTTTTCATAAAATGCAACTTGATTAAATAATGACCAAGATTCCTCATCACCTAATCTTCCTATTTGGATGATTTTGGTGCTTCTCATTATTTTTGCAGTATTCTCTTTACGTGTGGTCACCAAAATTCTACTCCCTTGAGAAGCAAACTGAAGAGCATTCTTCACTTGTTCCCATTTTCTAGAATTGTCAATCCACACATCATCTAAAACAAGAAGAATTTTCTTGTCCTTAATAGACTGACATATGTGTTTTAACACGATTTCTAGTTCATCTTCATCTTTTTTTCCACCTAAAAGAGACTCAATAATTGCTTTGGCAATCCTAATCTCATCGAAAGGATCAGATACACACACCCAAATTTTCTTGTCAAAATGGTTGTTGACCTCATCATCATTAAAAACTAATCGAGCGAGAGTTGTTTTTCCAATCCCACCCATCCCTACTATAGAAGTAGTAGAGATGGTTGATTCTTGACTACTCTCAGTTAACAAAAAGTTTATTAATGTATTCTTATCATGATCTCTTCCATAGACCTCTAGTAAATTAATAAGAGAGGTAGTTATTTCGTGCTCTGGTTGCCTAGTTCCCCTACTCAAGCTAAAGTTGAAACTATTCTTTTCCATGGCAATAACACCCAATATTTCATTTAGATCTTTTATCTTGATAGCCATTTCATGGCGTAGGAAAAGTTTTTTGCAATAAAAGCAATCAGAGGAGATGCAGGAACATACTTTTTTCCAAAGATTGGAAGCATTTTCAGCTTCCCGCATTTGTAATCTTTTGCTCGTCGTGATCCACTCATCCAACACGTCTTCGATGTCATATGAGACATCTCTGAGCTGATCCAACCAAATTCGTACACTCCTCTCCTTCACTTGTCTCTGCTCCGCGTCTTCAATCACAGCTTGAATGGCCATGAAATAGTTAGTGAGCTTTCTCACTTCGTTATCAACACCCTGAAGGAGGGTCAGCTCTTGAATTGTTAGTGAAGCCAATTGATCCAGGATTGTGGAGAGAAGCGCTTCAGCCATGGTGAAAGATGGTAATTGATTTAAGATATTGAATTATTTGGTGTGTCAATTGTGTTGTGAATATTCTAGCCTTCCATTTGTTTTTTATAGACCAAAGAAAGACTACAGAATTCTGACGCTTCAATTATTGCAAATGAGAAAATTAATGGCCACTCACGTGGAGACGCCTCAATTGAAAGTTTCTGGATGATGCACAGCAGACGTAAGAGGCTGCTGGGCACTTTTTGAAGCAAATTTTCTCGAGTGTAGGGACAGTAATACGCTTGAACTTGCAATTATTGCTCTGAAGCCTGAACCAAAAATTATTCCTTTGGTTTTGGTCTCCTCTACAATAGAAAATATGATATGGTGTGCTATATTTTGGGCCTTCGACCCATTTATTAGTGTTTAAGGTAAGCAAAGTGACTTTCAATATTATCCCCCACTTTCAAATGTAATTTTTATTCGGCAAGTTTAACGCTAATGACATACTCTTATTCTCTGTTTTATATTTTTGTTTTAATTTTTAAACTTTAATTCTTACATAAACCCTAAATATAATTTTTCTAAATCATTGAAATATATATATTTTTTTATTTCCAATTTTCTTTGTTTGAAGAAAACATATTACTAATATTATGGACAAGGTAATCATACAATGGGATGAATCTGAATATGAAGAAGTAAGTTTCAAAGTTGAAATCAGATACCCTAAAGGCATCTTGGGAAAGCAATATTGAATATGAGGCACCATTGCAATGTGAAAACTGAAAGGGCTCCATCAAATCACCTTGGCCGCTTTCTCTTTTCAAGCGATTGATGTTTTTGGTGGTTGTTGGATGTTGATTGCACTAGCTTGGTAATGTGGCCATAGGTGTAAGATAATTCTTGTTGGTGTATGAGAAGACTTGGAATTAGATCTTGATTGCATTGAAACTAGGATATTGTAAGGTGGAAAGGAAGCCTGAGCCTAAAGTATTTTCTTTTGAATAAAGTCTGCTCCTTAAAAGAATCAATCAAATTCTTATATAAGATGCCATATGAAATTTAGAGATGAATCCAGGTCAATTGAAATCAATCGATTTATATCATTGTTATATTTCAACCTCAATCAATCAATTGATCGGCATGCAGGAACTACCCTGTTTCAAGAATTGAATTCTTTATCAGGTTCAAAGTTTAAGAAGATAATAATTTTTAATAAAGAACCAAATGTTACTAACGGTTCTCACTCAGGTGATTTGAGATGTTAAGTGTGGCATTAATTTTCGAAGTTCATCCAACTCTGTTTCTTGGTGTCACTTAAGCAAATTAATCATCCTTCGTTCATCATCTTTGGACAATGCTAGAAAAGGAATGAGTTACATATATTAGCATCACTTTCTTTGTGACATTTCGTCTCTTAAATAACCAAATTTTTCTCGAGCTCCTACTACTTATACCCAGAATTGCAACTGCAGCAGAAACAAGTCAGATTGTCTAAAACTCTTGTTATTTCAGATCACTTTGAAGTTTGTTTTTGGATGGAAATGACTAAGGTAACAAACATGTCTTATGATTGAACTTCAGCTATTACCTTTACATGTCAACTTCAAAACCCCACAAATACTGATTTTATATTAACTTTGTGAGAAAGATTGTATCATTATGCTCCATTGATTAATTGTGAAAATTTTGTGTTATACCATTACCATGAACATAACCCAAACGGTGAATCATGTAAATCGTTGTGCCTCATTACTTACATCCATATTCTTTATTTTTGTTGCTCATATATAGTTGATTGTTTATCAAGCTGCTTGATCTAGTGGCTGATTTAGTGATTATTTTGTTTCTTTTTAGAACTTAGGTTAATGATCATAATCGCTTAATTCAAAACCAGTGTCAGACATCTAAGTAAGCAATTATAAAAAGTTTAAGAAAGAAATTGACACGACACGTCTCGACTTTCCACATCCCGTAGGATCTGAGCACTCCCACAAGACTTGGATAACCGAGATGTTCCATGTGAGAAAACTGTGAAACCTGAAATCCTGTTTTTCTGAATACACTTTGCAGAAAATAATCTGTACGAAACATATTTAGAAAGTTTGCAAAACATAAGTGCATAAATCCATGAAATCCAAAAACAAAGTATTAAGTCTTGTATAATTACAGTGAAAACGTGCAACTATTATAGGAAACAGAAACTCATCCTTGAAGCATAAACCATAATACACATATGAGAAGATGTCAACAAGTGGCACATAAAACTATTACAGGAATCATACATGCATACGTGAATGGGATCGTTGCTTCCATTGCATATTAATAGAATCATATTGTTTTCAAGATTTGCGTAAGAATTGTTGTATGTTATCATTATTGCTTATTTTTTTTAAAAGAACTTTTACGATATACTGTATTTTGATTCACTTCCTTGAACTACATCTGATTCTGAATAAAATCTCAACATTTGGTATTAGAAATTCATACCACAACTAGTACACTAGGGAAATCTGTCATACCTGGTGGATGTCCCACATATTAAGGGACGTATCTGTCATACCCAACAAGATCTATCATCACACAGGCAAAGCCTCTGAAACTGTCATAGCTGGTGAACCACACAACACCCAGGCAAAGCATTGATAATTGTCATACGCATGCGCAGAGCCAAAATCTGAAACTGTCATACTCGATGGAATCTTGCATCGCTCGGGCAAAGCCCAAATCTGTATCATTGGAGGACGGGTACTTTGTAGGGTGGTTTTAGAACTACAATAATCTCATGCATATTCTTAACTGACATAACTCACGAACATATCAAATCTTGGCTTATAAATTATGCATATTGACATAATAATTAACATATCACATCCAGGGGTGAAACTGAAAACTTTTAAACATGTTGACAGTTTAACTCATATTCAAATTTACTACAACATCATATCACCATGCATAAATCCAACACAACCCATGGACAGTCACCCCTTTTTAAGCTGGTTAATAACCGATATTAAGACATTTCTACAATAACACAACGTTTTATCTACAAGTCTTTTTCCAACTCAAAGGGAATGAATCTTTATGTTGCATTTACATGACATGCAACATAAAGATTCATTCCCTTTTGAGTAAGACCTAATAAATTTTTACACAAAAACTTGTCCAGCCGTGACAAGCAAAGATAAGTTAAACAAGTTTTTCACTTCCAGCATTCAACCGAAACCATGCAGCAATATAAGCCACCAACTTTCATATAACAGCAAAATATTAAGCAAACAACACATCCTAACACACCAGCCGAACCCACATAAAGCAATATGTCACAAAACACATGCTTAGTAGAAATTTTACTCATAAACAGTAATCAGATCTCAACATGCAAAGGTATAAGTTTCAGCTTTTTAGGAAAACAATTTAGATCCACTCACAAATTCAGCTCAGCCGAAACTCAAATGAATTGTCAAGCACTCTTCTCTTCCGTACCTACACCCAAAAGCTCAAAATCAAACACTCACTCTTAAAGCAAAGAAGAAATAATTAAAGAAATTGCTTGCTAACCCCAATCCCAACGCAGATTTGGAGTGATCTGCTTCAAATTCTCTCCTCCTCCATTTTTGATCTACTTCACTCTCACTCCTCCACTCTCACTTTACCTCTCGGCCAGCTGTTCTTCTTTCTTACTCTCCTTTCTCTCTTTTGGCTCTCTTTTTTTCCTTTCTTCTCTTCTCCTCTCGTTTTTCCCTCTCCTCTCTCGTTTTCTTCTTCTTTCATCAACTGGGCGAAACCAGCCCTTCTTATATAATTCAACTTTTTTAAAATTTAAAAATTCCCCCAAATCCTCTTAACTCCACTATAACCCCGCCACATCAGCTTTTTTTTACAATAACCTCCAGATTTTACCCTCTTGTTAACTGCAAACTCAACAGAATTTATTTCTTTCGTTTTTACCCCTTAACACAAACTTTAAAAACTGACAAAAACGCCCTTTCTTACAACAATACCATAAAATCAATTTAAAAAAAAAAAAAAAATAGCATAATATAACTAAATTAGAAATGAGGTTTTACACAAATAGTTTGAAGTCAACAAATATGTAGTCATTCAATTAGAAATGAGATTTTTTTTTAATGAATTTGCGGTATAAGCAGCAGCTCTAGCCATCATAATCTGCATAAATGTCACCAATAAGTTGAAGTCAGATGATAAAATGTTTATCATCTCAAAGATTTTCTACAATATGAAAATTCTCCATTATAAGTTGGCCCATTAATGCGATTTAGCAGTTCTCTGTTACTAAATTGTATCTCACAATTCTCTTAAATTCCGACAAATTCTTAAATTGAGGTATCTCAAACGTACTAATTTCGTTAATCCTTGTGGAAGTTCGGTAAGACCATGACAATTTCTTTAAACTCCAACAATGACATAAATTGAGAAACCTCGAATGCACCAACTTTCCTGATCTTTATCTTTGCGGAAGTTATAATAAAATTATAATAAAAAGTAGTACTGTATAAGAAAGACCCAAATAATCAACATGAAACGCAATCAGATGATATGAAATTCATTAAAAGAGAAAACACTTATGGTTCTAAGAAGACGAAAAAGAAGAAACATTGTTATGAGGATAAAAATAAATATATGCAGCTTGTATAATTCTATTTCAATGTAGTACTTTTTGTATAATTTTATCGTTACTTTTTTGTTTATAAAAAAGTGGGGGCTAAATACATATAGGAAATTTTTGGAGAAACTTGGCTCAATGTGAGAAGACCAATTTCTCCAAAAGAATTTTCATGAAGAGTAACTATATTTGGCCCCCGCTTTATTGTTTAGCCCTCTTTTTTTTTTTTTTTTTTTTTTTTGGGGGGGGGGGGGGGGGGGTTGTTTCTTCCCTTTCAATCATAGTAATTATATTTGGGTTCAAAGCAATCGGATTCGTTTTTGGAGTTTATACAAATATTTTTAATATGAAGAGCGTTTATTAAGTTGAAAAAACCCAAAGCTTAAAATCAGATCTTAACATTTCACTAAGAATGTGAGATGTTATACGAAAAATACTGAGAAAACATAATTTTAAATATAACAACCAGTGGAAAACAGTATAAGAGTGTATATCGCTACTATTCTCTTTAGACAACAAGAATCAATTAATTGTGTTATGGGGCTGGTACAAATAGGCAGTAATTTGAAGAAAAGAAGCCATGACTTTGCTTTAATTCCTTGTCCAAAATTAATGCTTTCTACATCAATGGCAATAATTATTAATGTCTATTGTACTTTAGGCATTGCTGGATTGACCATGATTATGTTGCTATTTGCTATGCTTTCTCAGTTGGTTACTTATAGTTGTGAAAATTTCAAGGAAAATACCAATAATGGTGGATGTGCTAGTGAGGGTTTTTGCTACCTTACTGGCCTAATATTGTTAATAGGCTATTGAATGCTTGCGGATCATGGTTAATAAACTGAAAATACCAAGTAAAAATGTTCAAATGAAAAACAATCAAACAGCAAGGAAAAAACAAAAAAAAAAGTCTTAAAGGCAAAAACACAAAAAGGCACAACGATTTACGTGGTTCGGCCAATATGCCTACATCCACGGGTGGTGATGATGGTTTCACTATATGAGATGGAACAAGAATTACAAAACACTCTCACACCTCTTCCAATAAGTTTAGGATCAAAAGCAAACTCAACCTCAAAACACAATTAATCCTAAAGAGATTGTTCTAATGTGAGCGGAAAATCCATGTGTTCCTCTGCACAATCTCCCTTATGTTTTGAACTCCCCCCTTGTTACGAAACAAAGATTATCTCAAGGCTTATATAAGTTTACAAAGAAAAAAACCATTATGCCCTTAATAAAGAGTGGCCAAATTTGGCCAATATTCAACCACCTCTTGGTTTCATGACACAATTTCAACAACATCCTCAAGATTATGTATGCTCCCTTTTGAGCAAAATTAATAGCGCGATGCCTTAATTTTTGTTCAAAATTTATATTCTCTCTATTGTCTTCAGAGCACATCAAATTTTTTGATGATAACATCGGCATAATCAAGAACATCCTATTCAAACCCTGTCATTGTGACGTACAATGTTAAGAAAAACTCTGGTAGATGAAAAAAATAATAACACAAATTGATCTAGATAATTCTCCATAACAAACTTAAGTCATTTTTCAGACTAAAAATTGTGGATAAGACATTACCTTTTCGACAACAGTGATCTTGCAGATAACAGAGCTAAATCTTCAAAGCTTGACATTTGATTTAATGTTGAACTTTCTTTACTGCATCAAGAATGAGATATGAAAACAAAGTATTACATAATGTAATTGAATATATTAATAGCCCAAAGACAACAAAAACAAACCTTTATGAGCTGTAAAAGGATTTTGCTCACTAAATTTGGGGAGAATGGAAGAGCTAACTAACATAATCTGCACAAGGGGCAACAAGAAGTTGATAACATTCAGTAACTGCAGATAAAAATAAAAAACAATTAAAAAGAACATGCTTCAAAAATTTCACCAGTTGGTCACTTGCTCTGCCTATTTTCTCTAATGCAAACACCAATGCAATTGACAAATCAAATATCTTCTCCGGTAACATGTAATTTGTGATAAGAATTCACAAAAACATAATTGCAAAATATATAATTTCCAATTTTGTACATATTGACAAGCAAACATACATCCGTAGGTGACAAAATTTAGCAAATTAAAGTACCTGAGTTTGGGATTTTGGAAATCATACTATATCACTATATGAAAGACCCTAAAGGAGCTTAACTATATGCACTATTTCCTTACCAACTTTATGTCATGAGCCACTTTGAAACTTTGATATTTTAAGTCATTTTAACAGTTATATAAGTCAACTTTCACAGGACTAGCAGAAAGGGTGGTCATCAAGTAGCAGTTGGTTCTGTAGTCGCTTTCACTATAGTGAATTCTCTGGGTTCCACTAAGAAAAATTTAATCTAATATTTCATCAATGTGATTAAAAGGCCTGAAACATTGAGAAATGGGGTTGGTACTTTCTGCATATGCTTTAGTCTATTTGCATTTTTGAAGTTATAAGTCAACAAGAAATGAAATGAAATACATAGTTGTACCTGTAATTTAGATTCGAAGTTCGGGTGACCAGTGCATCAAATTGCATTCATGATTTAATTCGAGTTCACCAGCAACAACCTGTAGCCAAGTTGGTCAACAATTTAAAAAATAAATACATATCAGAAAAAGCTAATGAAAAAATTTGATCAAAACCAAAATTGAAATGGATAAATGTAACAGAGTCACGCAGCCATGGCTCATATGCCCCACCTTCAACTCAAAAAGATGTGGAAACAAGAGTTCCAGAACAAATTCAACCCGCTTGGATAAAGTTATATAAGTCAGTGGGTTGATGTGCGGCCTACTCTTATATGGCTATACATAATAGCATACACAATAATTCAGTGCATTTACTAATAATTTGGAAAAATTCTGCATAGATTCATCCATAGTTAGCCTCACTAATTAATGGTTTTGGAATGTATCTACTTTCATTCACATCTATAATTAGCCGCATTCTAAAACAAAAATGTGTTCTTAAGCATGGCATCCTGACAATCAATGAAACTATGGTGTAAAGCTTCTATTTGGTTACAACTAAGCATGTCCAAAATAACCCTATCATGTCACAAATCACTGCAAATTGAACATTGATCATTATCAGAAAGGGCAAGCTGTTAATGCAGAAAAAGGTTTCAAAACCTATTGAGTCAATCATCACTGTAATTATGTAGTTAAACACCATAGTTAAACACCATGGTATCGTAGATACTCAAAAGGCACATAAGATTCATATGCCTTGCAGAAGTAAAGAACACACCCTTCCAGCATCAGCAGCCATGGCAGGAGCAATAAAAACATTAGCTTTTCTCAGAATATTAACCACCTCAGGGGTAAATGGCATATTTGAACCTAGGCAGCACATAATAATATATAATAATATCAGTTCATATGAATACTCATTTTTTTCTTATCAAAATCAGGAATAGATACTAAAAGTCATTGCACCTCATATAGTGAATTACTACCTTCTACAAGTATACGACAACCTGAATTAACCAAATTAATGGCATCAGACTGATCTATTTCATTCCGGGAAGCACAAGGAAATGCAACATCAAACCTTTCACTCCAAGGTTTTGCTTCATCATAGTGCTTAGACCGAGAATAAGTCATTTAGTAGTCTCTGCAGATGCAACACATAGATAACATCAATCTAAGAGTATCAAAATTGACAATTTGATAATAGAAGATGCAAGATGAATTGAAAAAACAAAAAAAAAAAAAACACACCTCAAACTTCCCTGCTGAGCTTTGATATCCCTCAAAAAAGCTATTTTCATGTAATCAAATCCATCCTCATCCACCAAATATCCTTTTGAATCTGTGCAAGACGAGGGAAAATGACTTATTACAAGTAACTATACTGGTGCCTATTCACTGAAAAAGACAGTAAATAACTGATAATCAACAGTCTCGACAAACTTTTAAAGCCTAAGATTATTATCTAAAACAAATATGCCAATAGAGTTTTAATTGTTTGATTGGCAGTTTATGCGCATCCATTAATAAATACCCTCAGCTTAACTAGTCTGGTCTTGTTTATATCATAACAAGAAACTTTGCATGTATTGCAGAGGAGCAGCAAACATGCTCTGAGAAATTTTGGAGTAAAAGATGAAAAGAAATTTATAAACTTATGTTAATCTAGTTTCAAAACTAATCTTATATTAACATTCTAACTTCTACAATGTTCACCAAAAACAGAAAAGTACCTGACACTGTAATGGGGACAGCACTATAGGCAATAAGCTTTTGTAGAACATGCATTGCAATCTTTCCAGAATGACTTACAACACATCTTTCCAGAATGACTTAATATCAACAAACTTGAAATACAACTTTCAGCAATAAGTAATATTCTAAGTACTTATCAATCAAGCAACAGATAGATGTTACCAAATTGATGAACAAGAGACGCTCAGAAAGGTAACAGTACAACAATGTATAGATTCTATGAATTAGAAACACTACATCTTAAATGCAAGTCAATAAATCATCAAGTGAAAATTGAATTCAAATTTCAGTCTTATGGTCAATACAGTAAAATAAGTCTACATTAAGGTCATGAGTTATCAATTCTAGTGAACATAAAATGTAATAATAGGAAGTTGAGTGAGGAACCTCAGTCCCCTGAGTTCCTTATTCAGGTCTGCTTTCTGCAGGAATAAGCTGGGCAAAGAAAACCTACAAAAGAATTTGCCTTGATAAATTGCCAGATGTTTAAAACAACGGATTAAAAAAAAAAAAATCATTTGCCCATGATTGCAGAGTCAGAAAACAAATGTGAGCATTTTCAGATTTCTTCACTGTAGTTCCTACACGCCCACCCACACAAAAATGGAATCTAAATGTTGAAATAAACTATTAATTACCATCCCATAGCCAGTAACTTCAGTTCGAAGGCTAGAACCACAGCAAAATATCCTTGGCCCTTTAAGACTTCCCTGCATAAAGCATACATATGAAGCAAAGAGTGAAGTCTTAATCTTATGAAAGTGTCCATAGACTGAAAACAATGCAAACAAGCACTCATAATTAAACAAATGACTCCAAAAATAATATTAATGAAAAATAATAGAGAATAATGAAAATATAAGAAGAAAAATAGAAGATAAATTCAACGGGTCAAACAGTCTCTTTCAAGTGTTTTTAAGCACCTGAAAATGACCAGCAAGAAGTCTGTATTGCCCAAAGAGATACCCCATCTCTTGGATGCCAACACTATCTCTTCTCTGGAAGATCCTAAATTACACAAAACAGTAAATCAGGCATGGAGAAGTGGGTCATACAACTCAGAGACTTGACAACAGATTAAAGATGAAAAGGACAGCTTCTTAAGTTACCTTGTCAGGAGCCAGATATTTGTAGATCTCATTCATGAAACTTTGGCAAAAACACATGATCTACCAGCGTGGGTTTCACAAAGAACTGTAAGAGGAACTTTCGGAATTTCTTAGAAGGTTCTTACTAAAATACCATCTTAACATAGAACAAAGATCTTACACTTTTTTCCTTTAGGATCAGAATCACTTCCACCTGCTGCCCCTCCAAGTTTGTATGGTGATAAAGCATTCTTTAATGTCTGTAAAACGAAGAAACTATAATACTGTATAGCAGTTGAAGCACTTAAACAATTTGCAATGATATTATAAACAATGAAAGCTATTTTGTATTTGCATAAAAAAATTGAAACCACTCCGAACTCCAAAACCAAATACACCCTCTCATACTTTCTAACATTCTCTTATCTACAAACTTGAGTTTTGATCTGCTTGTGCTTGAATTGCTTCAGAAACTTAGAGATTTCTTTGCACTAGTTATATTTATATTGATCACTATTGCATGTCAAAAGTTTACAGCACAAATGTCTTGTGTGAAAGCCCCAACTACACTGAAGGCCTGTGAAAAAATATGGAACAATAGGCGCAAGACATGCTCCCTCAAGCATGGCATTTATTAACCATGTAACGAAGTCAAGAAAGGAGAGAATGGTTTTTAGTCTTGTCACTCTGATCAAGAATATCAAAAATATGCCTCGTTAATCACAATAATAAGAAATCACAACTAACCAAAAAGGAAAAAAAAGGGAAGTGAAGATGAAAAATTACCTGATGGTGGAAAAACGAAAAGGAAGAAGGAACACATTCTGCCAACTTCTGAGCTTGTATCATGCACCACAACTGCTCAAGAAAACCAGAGAGTTAAGGGGCCTATTGGAGTATTGTGACACCTTGATGTCTGAAACTAAGAATTGCTTTCAGAACTCACAAGATACATTGTGTGCACAAGATAACAAAACAGAAAATTAAAAGAACTGATAGCATTATGAGATTTTTTACTTTAAAGTGTTTTTCTACACAAGAATTAAAACAATTTGATATAAATCCAATGAACCAAGAATAATTAAAACAGGGGAATTACCTTATTTCATAGTTTATATGAACATCATTTCTTCAAAAAAGAATATGATATCTAACTAAACGGCCCAAAAGAAAACAGAACTTCTATCACGAGATTGCTTTAGGTGGAGAATAAGAGAAGGAAACATAATTTGTTATTGAATCATTACAAACCTTTTTCCTTTAATCACTCCTCGTAACTTCTTGGCTCTCCTATTTCATCCTTGCTCCTCAAGTCCAATGTCTGCCAGACCGTATCATGTTCTATTCACATAAACAACATAAATAACAAGTATGAGTATCACAAAATGAGATTATAAATATATTCACTTAAATTATGATTAATTAGACAAAAAGAAACTAAACTACCATGTAATTTCTGAACAAGGCATGTGTCCATTGCTTAAGAGCAAGTATTTTGCTTCATCACTTCCCCCACCTTCGTACATTCTCTTTTCTTGTCATAGTCCTGAACATTTAAATTCTCGACTCTTATGACTGTGATTCACATAAACGACCTAAAAGGCGAGAATGATTTTCTGAGAGGCAAATTTATTCAGTCAACTGATTTATGATGAATTAGGCAAACAAAAATATCATGTTCTCCCTGTTCTACTTTGGCGTCATCCCTCCAATGAACTGGATTTTAACTATTCCACGGTAATTAAGAAGTCTGCAGTTTCTTCAAAGTAACGAAAGGAAATATCAAATTAATGAAACTTAGAAGAACAATTTTACATTTATATACAACAATTAAATCACAGCAAAAGCAATATCGGAACTGATGATGTCAACAACTTTGGACTAGGATCTGAATTAATTTTAGAGCCTGCAACATTCAGGAAATGAGAAATCCTTACCTGAAGCTTAAAGAACCAACACATAATAACATAATCAAGCTATAGCCAGCAAAGTTTGATACCTTTAGGTGCAAAATAATGGCCAATTCATCTAAAGCAGCGATCTGATGTTGACACATTGCAGGAGCAAAAGATATCAAACTCATCTGACAAACTCACTACTTCTCCACATAAATCATCAGTGATTCTGCCCAAACTCCTCTTTATGTAAGAAAAAGGACCTTTTTCCTGATTCTTGTCATTGCTCTGCGCATCATATCGGAAGATCATCTTCAATAATACTAAACATCTTGATAAATGGCGCAATTAAAGAAATACTAAACATCTCAAGACTTGAATTCCGTGTTGCAAGTACATTAAAAAACTCACCAAAACGACTTCCGTACAAAAGGCATCCATAACTCTACCAAAACTCTCTTTCGTATGAGAATATGTAGCTGTTTCCCCTGATTCTGGTCATTTTGCTGCTCATAATGCTGGAAGGCCATCCTCAATAGCATGCATACAATATAAACAAGCAGCCTCTTGACAAGATGAGGCAAAATAAGATATACCAAACATCTCATGACTTATTTGGATACCATGTTGCTAGCATATATGTATTATTTTGGCTTCATTCCTCCATTGGACTGTATTTTGTTGTGGCTGCAGCATTTGAGAAGTCTGCAATTTTCACAGGGTAACAAAAAGAAATATGAAACTAAAAAAAAAAAAAAAAAAAGAAAATTAGAATGACAAGCATTGGTTGCATAAACAGCTATAACTGATAAATGAAGATTAAGAAAGAACTCAATTTGCTAAACAAAGTACCTAAACATGGTTTGGAAATCATCCATAACTATACGTAACAAAGCCAGTATTCGTTCATCAAACTGATGTGAAACTTGGGGCTAAGATGCTTTAGAAACTCTCCTTTTTGATCGCATTTATAGCTGCCCAAGATTTACAAGAACTGGTGATTTCAACAACGTTGCAATGGGATCTCCAAAATTAATCTAGAGCCTGCCAAATTCATAGAATGAGAAAGTCTTAGCCAATACAAACAGAACAAAACCCAAATATATAATAAAGGATTTGCCAGCCAAGTTTAATACCTCCGATTGCAGAACAATAGCCAAAGTAGTGAGAGCTGTGATCTGACTTCAATTAAAGATCCCTGTTACTCCTATCAAGAACGGATCATCTCAAGATGCCAGGATCTAACTGAGAAAGTTTAACAACCACCATCTGCAATGACTTATATGGATATATAACACAAAGCTTTAATCAACAGCCTAGGCACCAGGGTTATCAGTCAAATTCTTCTTTCATTATCTATCAAGAGAGATGGGAAAGCTGAAATTAGTTCCCAATGCCATAGTTTCCGAGGCTTCTGTCAGCAACGCACAGTGAAGAGCGATTTCAACCTAAAAAGAACAAGTGATAGCATTCCTACCATTATTATCCGAAAAAATAATAAAGCCACCAATCCAAACATTTGAAGCAGTTCAAATGACTCTTTGACATCTACTTGATTAAAAATATAGAAAATTAAATTAAATTAAAATATTCAGTCTTTAATTTCTCACATTCTATTTCTTTAACAATCAAGTGATAATGAACTAAATCAAAAGTTACTAATACTCTCAAAGTGTGTTTCTTCACTGAAAATAAAAACAAGAACAACAGAAAGCATGACGAAGCCAAAATTTTCTTCAACAACGCAAACGAATATAACTTTCCTTTACCATTAAGTTGAAGAGTCTCTGAAGCAACACCATCCCACGCCATGGCTCCAATTCCTCCATTACCAATCGGAATCGCATCGGCCCAATGCTTGGCGGGCCCACCAAACGTAACCTTCAACGTCTTAAAACTCTCTCCTCCATCTCCAAATACTCGGGTTCCACAAGTCTCTCTCTGTAGCTCGCCGCACCAGAACCCACTAAACCAAACCCAGAAAAAGGGAAAAATGACGATATCAACACCCATCAACAAATATTCTTGAATATTGAAGACGATCGAAAAAACAAAGCGAAGATTAGAATATTGAAGACGAAGAATGACGATTGAACACAGAAGAGAAGAATGACCATTTTGCATATATTTAAGTTATGTAAATCAATTTTTCATGCATAAGAATAAATAAATTAAATTGCTCTAACCAAGTAAATACTACTCTTAAAAACTGAATATTTTGCATTTATTTAAGTTATCTAAATACTTTTATCAATTTTTCTTTTATTATAATTTTGCATTAATTTTGCATGTCTTTAAAAAATATTATAATAAATGCAAAATATCATGTTTAAAAAAAATTATAAATCAGTTTTTCGTGCATAAAAATAAATAAATTAAATTGATTTAACAGTTGGTTAAATAACGAATGTAATCATCTAAATAAGAGTAATAAATAAAATATTATAATAACAGTAATAACCAGTTTTAAGACATTATATAATTAATGTAATCCTCTAAATAAGAGTTTTATGGAAAATAATAAAAACAAAATATTCATCCATAAAAATAAAAGATATTATTGTAATATAAGATTTTGAATTACAAAAAGGAGAAGGGGAAGGAATTTACCAATGGGTGAATAGCAATTGCATCTCTCACATTCCAACAATCTCTTAATGACCGATAGAGACCTTTGGAATGTGAGAGATCTTGCTCCTATCATCTCCTGTCTCCTTGTAACGTTCTTCCATAATAGAGCAATGAACAATCTCTAATTGCTGCAGTGTTGGTGTTTGAAGAATTTGTTCTGGCAGTGTCTTTAATTTAGGACACCATTTAATTGACAAAGAATGAAGACATGGCATGATTGTAATATCCTTGTCTCTACTATTTGTAATCTCATGATTCCACTCTTCCCATTCATTTAGTTCTCTTATATGGAGGAATTTCAATTTGGGAAAGGCAACAATTGATGATGTGGCATCATTTTCTATTCCCAAAAATTCATTACCCACTTTTTTTATACTTCTCATTCTCTTTATCTTTAGTGATTCAAGTGATGGTAGTTTTTCCAAATGATGTAAATGCTCACATTTGATGCAATAAAAAAGCTTTAACTCCTTCAACTTGATTAATGATACCATCCAATCAAAAGACATGGATTTGCCTTCAAACCATTCTATCCCTAATTTCTCTAAATTTGGAGGTGGTTGTAATGCTTCAATAATCATTACATTCTCCTCATTTCTGCTTCTCTTCTTATAGAAATTTTGAGTATCAAATGATAAAGTCAAATGAAGGAGATTTTTGGTACTCTGAAAATCTGCAAGTTTAAGTGCATTACTATCTCTCACATTTACCAACTGTAACTCTAAAGATGGGCCCAGTTTCAAGTTCTTCAAAGAATCAAGACTGGTGCATGCTTTGTTACCATAATCATAATCACCATTAATAACGAATTTATTTAATGTCTTTAGACAACTCAATCTCTCTACTCCTTTTGGAATGTACCTTAATCTCCATGTCCCACCAATTAATAGATGCCTCAAATTAACTAACTTTCCTATTCCTTGGGGTAGCTTTCTAAGTCCTCTACAATCAGTGAGATCCAAGGTTTGTAGATTATATAAATCACACAATACCTCAGGCAATGTTTTTGTATGATCACAACCCTTCAACTTAAGGTACCTCAAATGCATTGAATATTTTATTCCTTTTGGAATTTTATTATCATAGCCACTCAAATTTAATGTCCTTAGACATGTAAATTGCTCAAAATGTCCGGATAAGTCTTCTCCTATAAAGCTTACATTCTCAACCACAAAGCTACGCAATTTTTTTAGATTAAGAATGGATGAAGGAACTCTAAGAGAATTACTACTTCTTATGTATAAATGTCGAAAACTTTTAGAAGAAATCTCTAATTCAGGAATTGAATCACTCTCAACTTGTATTGCAAAACATTCATTCTTTGAAAGAAATTGAACAAAGTCATGCACTATATCATGCATCTTGCATCTTACAATACTACCATCATATTCACTCCTCTCAAAATCTTGAAACAAAGAACGCATTACTAAGTTTTCAAAATATTCTTCACCAACTAATTCCATTTCTTTGTTTTCTTCTTCCTTAAGAAAACCTTGAGCTATCCATAACTTAATCAATAGATCTTTCTCTATCACATAGTCTTTCAGAAATATGGCACAATATGAAAAGCATTTTCTTAGTTCAGAGGACAAATCATAATAGCTCAAGAGGATAGGGGGGAAGAGTGCTTTTTCTATATCTTTTAATCTCCACAAATCGCTGTCTAATATACTTTGCCATTGTTCAACATGTGTTTTTAAACTCAAAATATCATGTTTTTAAAAAATTCTAAATCAGTTTTGCATGCATAAAAATAAATAAATTAAATTTATCTAACAATTGGTTAAATAACCAATGTATTCCTCTAAATAAGAGTAATAAATAAAACATTATAAGAAAAGTAATAATCAGTTTTAAGACATAATATAACTAATGTAATCCTCTAAATAAGAGTCATAAAAACAAAATAATAATAAACATTATTGTAATATAAGATTTTGAATTACAAAAAGGAGAAGGGGAATGAATTTACCAATGGGTGACTAGCAACTGCATCTGTCACATTCCAACGATCTGTCACTGCCTGATGGAGACTTTTGAATGTGAGAGATCTTGCTCCATCATCTCCTGTCTCCTATCATCTCCTATCATCTCCTGTCTCCTATCATCTCCTTGTCTCCTATCATCTCCTATCATCTCCTGTCTCCTATCATCTCCTATCATCTCTCAATTCCAACGATCTGTCACTGCCTATGGAGACTTTTGAATGTGAGAGATCTTCCAGAAAGGGCAAGAAACAATCTCTAATTGCTGCAGTGTTGGTGTTTGAAGAATTTGTTCTGGCAGTGTCTTAATTTAGGACACCATTTAATTGACAAAGAATGAAGACATGGCATGATTGTAATATCCTTGTCTCTACTATTTGTAATCTCATGATTCCACTC